GGATACAGTGAATCCCATAATTAACAAATCAGAATTAGTGCTGCAGTCAATACAATGATTGGAAATAATATTATTTGCTACCTATCAAAAGATATATATATATATATATATATTGGCTAGATTTTATTGCATTTATAACAATTTCTTGGATTCTTGAGAGTGGAAGACAGAGCTTACTCATCATGAGACGCAAAAAGAAATTAAAGAAAATTCTGTTGACTTCTAATTTCAAGTAAGAAAAAGAAAATCCTAATTAGGTCATTAATGATATAGAGGCCATCCCATCTCCCGTCACTGAGTTTGGTAATCATATCAGCTTCAAAATCACCAAGGAAAAGTCTCATTAGTCAATGAAATGTTTGCAATTCTTATCTCAAAATATTTACATGATCTTCCACGTAACACCTAATTAAAATTTAAAATAGATTAATTTTGAAAATTATACATATAAATATTTTAAAAATCATATTAAAAATAAGCATATAAATGTATATGATCTTTTTATGACCTCAAAAAAAGAAGTAGATAATTTCAAATTATTTTGTATATATTTTACATTTAAGGAAAAAAAATACTTCCTCATCTCAATTTTTTTGAAAATAGACTGGATTTTTATGTGCATGAAAAAAATTCCAATTCAAAATATTAAAAATTAAAATTTTTAAGAGGATTTTTGGTCAATGATAACGAAGAATTAATAGTGAACTGTCAAAATAGATTAAGTTGTGAATAGAGAATTAAGATGAGGATATAATTGTGGGTTTTTGAAAATTGAGAGACTAAGTTACAATTGTGTTGAAAATTGAGAGATGAAAGAATAACTTAATGAAGACTTTATTGGATGGGATAAGCAGAGGTAAGCGTCATGCAATTTAAATCGGAAAAAAAAAAAAACCAAACCAAAGATTTTGAATAAGCTCAATTTTTTTTTAAAAAAAACTGAATTTATTCAGATTTATTGGTTTCAATTCAGTTTTTGAAATTTTTGGTTGGGTTTAAATAAAAAACCTAATGAATTATTTAGCTTAAATTTTAAAATAATACAAATAAAAAAAATCAATACTTTATCATTGTTATAAATATATGATGGATTGATGGTGTTTTGATGACATCGGCAATTTCTAATTTTTATTTGCTTGAAATATGAATTTTTCAATCTTAAATATTTTAATAGATTATTTAGTTTAATAAGTTTTTCTTTTTTTAAAAAGAATTGGCATGTATATTTATTATGATTGGAAGATCTTCATAATTAATATCATATCTTTTTTATTTAGCACCATTAACTATGTTATTTTTATTTGTTAACTGGATTGTATTTCTGTTATGAATCATGAAGTGAATGGATTTCATAATTCATAACATAATTTTTCTTTTATCTATTTATATTATTAAAAAATTAAAAAAATAGGGTTTATCAAAAAATCTAATCCAAAAACTAAAAATTTAATAAACCAAAAAAGGGGATAAAAATTCGGCTTAAATTTTTTTTTCTAATTTAATTAACTAAAAATCGAAGCATAATATTAAAACCAAATCGAAAAACCAACCACCCACCTCTAAAGATGAGTACGAAATCAGGGGCGGCGCTACGCTATTCTTAGAGGGGACCGGCCCCTCAAATTTTTTAAAACATGAAATTCAATCTGTATTTAGGCCTTTTGATTTCATCATGATATCTTAGATTATTTCAATTAGGTTCCTCAAAAAAATTTATAATTACGCTCCTATATCTCTTAATTTATTTTATTCGTACCTTTGCAGGTCTCATATTGCCAGTGGCCTCTCCAATCATTTCGTTCCAACTCTGCCACTGTATAGAATGTAGTTGTAGATAAAATATCTGTCGTCATACTTCCATGGTGTTTGGCATGGAATGAAAGATTTAAAGAGAAAATATTAAGGAGGTAAAATTCGAGGATGTTTGGTAGTATTTAAAATAGTTGCAGATAATATTACTAAAATAAAACATAGTTTTATTATTTGTTTTTATTATTTGAAATTCTCTATTCACATACTCATAAGTTACTATTCCTTTCACTATTTATGTCAATTTTTTAACACTTTGATTCTCAATTTTTTTTATTTTTTTTCAATTTCAAAATTTATTTGTATTATGATTTGATCCTATTTTGTTTTAATTATTTTTATTATTTAAAATTTACTATTTTAATTTATCTTTTTTTAAATATAGTCATATGCTATTAATATTATGATCATATTATAGTATTATTATTTTTCTACACTAAGCATTTACTATTTATTTATTTATTTATTTTTGAATTAAATAATTAAAATAATGTTTTGACTTAACCACTCAATGATTCAAATTAATACAGTTTTTTATTTTAATATTACTCATTCTTTTGTAAATAAATATATAAAAATTAAATTCATATTTTTTTCAAAAATCGATAATCTCATCAACATTAAATAAAAAAATTATTTGTTCAATTCTATGTAAGCTTTTAATAATTGTTATATATGTTTTTTGACACAATCTTATGAAATACTAAAGTTTTTTTTAAAAAAAACCTATTTAATTTTCTTTTTAGTTAATAATTCGTGGATTAAAAAGGATAAATCCTTTTTTCTAAAGAAAAAATTATGAAAAAAAAATAAAAAATAGTTAAATACAAAATTTTTGAAAAAAAAATTATATAATTTTTTTACTTTCGGTTTCATATATTTTTCTAGATGATTTTATATATTTTATCCAGTAGAATTTGCAGTAATGCGGGAAAAAAACTAGTTAAATTCTATTAAAAGTAAAACCCAATTTTAAATTAAATATAATCATACAAAATTAAAAAATATATAGTTGTGGTCCAAAAAGAAAATATCAAGGAAAAAAAGAATGGACATAGTTCTCCTTAAAGTTTCCTTACCTCTATTTCCACAAAATTAACATTTAATCCTCTTTTTTCAAATTAAATGTTAATCTCCATGAAATTTTTCTTTTCTCCTAACTTTTATCAAACATAACTTTTTGTTTTTTCCATCCATACCAAATATATTAGTCAGTGTTATTTTATATATATATATATATATATATATATATATATATATATATATAGTTAGTGTCACATAATAATCTGTTAACTAACAAAAGTTGAAGCTAACATAGCTCGTAATGCAATTTGATATAGAAGCAAAAAAATTTTAAACCCAAACTATAGGTGGGATTAAGAGTTTGTTAAAAATATTAAAAGTATAATATTAGATCACCCAGTTTAAAATGTTTAATATCATTCTATTCTTATGTTTGAAAGTCTTATTTCAATTCAACTTCGATACATAAGAACACAAGTTTATTGGAAACACAATAACCCATCGAGAGATAGATCAAAACCACATATACTATTAAGTTTAAGAATTACTTTAATTACCTATTCAAAGTTATTTGCATCAATGACAAAACGAAGTCCATACTAAAAATGATACTAAAAACAATTACGTGTACAAGAAGAAATTTTTTTTAATTAATTTCATTAAATACTTATTAAAAATGTATTAATGATTAAGCTAACTTGAGCAAGCGTTTGAAAGCTTTCACTTATAAATTAATAAGACTTGATAGTTCAATTAATCAATCTCCAATCATCAACTCTTCCTGTTTCAACTGCAAAGCTGACTAACAAGCGTGCAGCAGAAATTTTTCAGAGTTTTATTGACAATTATACTCTATCTGATAATTGTTACAAAAAACTCGTAACAACAGGAAAATGTTGTCTGCAATTATACTCCATTTGATATGAGGTTCTGGTTATGAAAAGAAGTGTTTCTACAAGCATTTCACAAACCAACCCAAGATTGCCTCCAGCAGTACTCTGGAATGACAAAAGGTGCCATTAATACCAATGTCACTAGAAAATGAAAAAAAAAAAAAAATGGTTGAACCAATATACGTGTGTATCAGTTCATTGCACACGCAAGCGTAAAATCCTTATAATGCAGTCTGTGACAAAAGAAAAACCAACAGGATTGCAGATAACAAGAAACTTTATGTAGCCATGTCGGATGAGTGCAAAAATCAACAAGCAATTAACAAATTAAGTTGTGAAGTCCACAGGCATTGACTATTTAATTATAAGAAGTGATATTTAAGTAGAATTTTGATCCCCCCCAAACAAAAAACAAAATTTTAAAACATAATAGTCATAGGATCTTTAAATAAATATAGCAAACAATTTTTTGTATCTCGTTGTCATATAATAAAAATAATAAGCACAAAATGAAAAACTCAACACTAGTTAGCAACTTGGCATTGAGGACTGTGAGATTTCGGTGTGAAAATTGAGAATTTTTTTTGTATAACTTCAGCCCATTTAGCAGAAGTAATTTGAGTGGAGTTGATATTATGAATTTCTTTGACGACAAAACACAGTTGATGCTACGGTCTATACAAAGACTTTGGATAATGTCATTGGCAATCTTGTTAAAATGATAATGATATAGTTAGCTAAATTGATTGAATTTATAACAACCTCTTCTCTTGGATCTGTAAAGACAGATCTTATATTATGTATGTGTGAGTGGTATAGCTTATGAAGGATCTTAGCTCAGGTGCAAACTGTTTTTTATTTCTTTTCAGGGAAATGTTAATATATGATCTATTTTGACAATTACACAAATTAGATGCAACACAAACAACACATTACTATCTATCATGGAGAAAGAGTTACATTGAACCAACAGATTTAATATGAAAAATCACAGTAAGAACCTTCACGCAGGTCTTATGGCACTTATATCTCTTCTTCATGCTTCTTCAATAAAATTCTGAGTTATCAAATGCAAACCGGTATGTTGGGTGAAAAAAAAAAAAAAACACGAATCAAGCTCACCGGTGCATTTGCAAAGATAGAGCCATATAGCCTCTTAATTTGCATATTCAGAAAAACAAGTTCCAACAATATATACAAACATCAACAAAATATCTTTACAACTCAGGATGTAACGCCAAAGATTTTTCAAAAACTTACACGATTGTGTCAATTCTATTGATTCTTCTTTAGCTTAGAAGTAGAAGTTGATGATCCAGGATCTGGGTTGGAAGTTCTAATTATGAAAAGAAGTGTTTCTACAAGCATTCCACAAACCAGTCCAAGAATGCCTCCAGCAGCACTCTGGAATGTCAGAAAAGAGTGCCATTAACATCAACGACACTAGAAAAACAGAAAAGAATGGTTGAACCAATATGCATTTGTGACAAAAGAAAAACCCAAACAACAAGATTGCAGATAATTTCTTTTTAATCTCGGTAGGCACTTCTTAAGATAGCGGATAATTTAAAGTGTTTTGAGAAGTAAAAACAAATCTTAATGGCAAAAAATAAAAAAAAATCTGATATTACCATGGCAGAACTGTGTCCAAACAAAGCTCTAAATGTTGCATATCCAACCAGATAGCCAGTAAACATGATAAGAACAACATGCAAACCTGCAGAAAGTTAAAAGTGACAAGAGCTTCAGGCTAACAGATATACAAAATGTAAAAATTAGAAAAGAAGGAAAGTTGTCTCTTACATTTAGAGGAAATTAAACGCATACAACGACTAGTTATGATCACAGGGCTATGAAATGCATTAGAAGTGCAAAATTATTGGGAACAATAAACTTAGTTAAGGAGCTTTTGGTGGGGAAACTTCATATAGCTACAGGGGATGCGTGCAAAAATCAGTCACAAGGCACGTCGGGAAGTACACAATGGCTGTGTGAGATTGTGTTCATCAAAAGGTGCATAACAAAAGTATGCAATTAAGGCCCCAGACGACAATCCCACTGAGTCCATAGTTTTGAAGTATTGCAACAACAATTTCCAAAGGAAACTCCAGCTAGGCAAATGTGCGATAAGAATTGCAGGGAATAAAAGGGGACCAGCAATGTTAATTGAAGCTGTGTATGTAACTTGATACTTTTCTACTTTGTCACGACCAGTACTATCCATCTAAAAGTAAGCCATTGTTCGCTGACTGAATATTGGCAATGATATTCCCTTGATTATAAGCAAGCAGAAAGATACTCCTATTCAAATATCTCCCACTTCCTGAATATGCAACTCTTTTTTCTGAGATAAAGAAATAACAGCGTGAAAAATCAATTCACTAATCTGGGAAACCGACAAGGTGTTGTCGCATATTAGGAAAACATGATCAAATGCCCTTTTCAATTATCATTCTTAACTACCTAACAATTTTAACTTGTTTGTCTTCCAATTTAAGGCACAAGACATGTAGCAAGATTGTGATTCCATAAAAACTACATTCAACTTTCTCAAAAATTAAACATCGCTGCCCAACAAATTGTACAGAAAAAATACTTAAAAGAACAAAGTGACTGTCCCATATGACCAATTCATTCAGAGTCGGATTAAAATGGTAGAGGTTTATAACAGTCAAAGCTACTAATTGGAATCCTGTAAACAAACAATAAGAAGCTGATGCAAATAAACCCACATAATAAATAAAATGCATTAAGAGTTAGGACTGTTACCAAAGCCAAACTGATCCTTATAAGAAGAGAAGGGCTCATTGGTATTCTTCCGCGGCGTAATATCCTTAACTAGCTCTGCATACGCATTCCGCTCTGCCATTTCTTCAAGTTTCCTCAATCTCGCCTTCAATTCTTCACTCTATAATATTAATCATAAACAAATTAAAATCAAAACAAAGTTTTTTTTATTATTAATATTGTTTTGTTACCTTTTCTCTGGGTTTGGGGCTAGAGAAGATGAAATTGGAACCGGAGAAGAGGCGGATCAAGTCCGGTCTGGTTGAGGGAGGGGATTGGATCCATATAGTTCGGAAGGCTTTGTAGTGCAAGTTATGTTGAGAGGAGAGATTGAGAGCGAGATCCTGGAGTTGTTCAGATAGCTCTGTGTCTTTGGAAGCCGTGAGGAGAAAGGAGCGGATGGGTTCGGTGATGGAGATTGTTAGTCCCAACGGTGGGTTTAGCGGTTCACTCATTTCCAGTATTTGGATTTGGATTTGCCACACAACGGAGAGAGCGAGAGCACGGAGCAACAGTATTTTATTATTTTGTTTCTTCACCGTGTTTCTTTTTAATTATTTATTAATACTTTCATTGCGAATCCATTAAAATATATGGGATAAAAAATTCATTTAATTTTATGATTTTTTTATTTTAAAAATTTGTATTTAATTAATTTTTCATTGTCTTTTTCATAAATTTCTTTCTCTAAAAACTGTGACTTTTTCATTTAATTTTAGGATTTTTTATTTTAACATTTTGTATTTAATTAATTTTTGATTGTCTTTTCATAAATTCCTTTCTCTAAAAAATGTGATTTTTTCATTTAATTTTATGATTTTTTTATTTTAAAAATTTACATTTAATTAATTTTTCATTGTCATTTTCATAAATTTCTTTTTCTAAAAACTATGATTTATTTTTCTTCATAAGATTTTATAATAAAAATTAATAATAATTTAAAGAGCAAATTGAAATGAGAAAAAAAAATACCTTAGTATTTTTTTTATAAGATTACATTGAAAGGTACAGTAATAATTAATTTTAATAACTAAAAATTAGTATTTTTATTCTTATTGAATATTTATGTGAGAATCCTTTTTTAATTATACATTAGGTTTATATATTATTATTCAGTAAATAAGCGCTAATATCAGGAAAAAATAATATCATTTGAAAGCTATTATCATGTGTTTTTTAAATATTTTAATTGTTTTATTTAAGAACAAATTAATTTTAGAATATTCAAAAAACGAATAAAAAATAAAATAAAAAAGTAATTGAGAAGGGGCCTGATAAGCCAAACTCAAGCATGCATACTCAGGTGATAGTAAATAAATAATGTTTTATGTGTAGGTGCATAGTAAATTTCAAATAATACATGATTCTTTTTCTTTTCTTTTCTTTTTTCATACTTTGAAGTTACTGGTTTGAAAAAAAAAAAAAAACATGACCCCGTTTTTTGTTATACAAAAACAAAATCACATAAATTTAAATCTCAAGAACAAAAGTAAATATAATTATAAAAATCACTTTTTTTTATTTTTTTTGAGAAACCTATGCCGCCGTGGCTTTGTTGAAATCATACAGTGAATGAATATTGTCTTGAAGATTGATACCTAGTTAATTTTTACTGAAACCAGCTCATTTATTAATATTAACAATATTTTTACTTTTTAATTGTCGTATGAAAATTTATTCCGGACACATTAATATTTCGTACTTTTAGATAATTATGGACACTAAAAAAAACCCTCAAAATTTCGTTATTGAAATAAAAGAATTTATTGATTGAAAACCAAAATAGTGAAAAAAAAAATCAAAGATTGGATCCCTAAATTGCAATTTTCTCTAAGAGAAAACATAAAAACCTTTATAATATAAAGCTCCATTAACCTTTTTTGGAAAAATTCATTAAAAAATGAAAATTACACCCAACTATCCTAATTTTAATAGGATAATTCAACAATGACACATAAATAAAAAATTAATTCCGTCTCAAGTTTTCAATTTGTCTTTATAATCTAAACAATTCTATTATGTCTTTGTTATTTGATTTCGTTTTTAATCTATCTTTACGATCAAAATTTTCGATCAATTCAATAGAAATTAATCATGTGATTTGCACATAGTATGTAATTTAACAAAATTTAAGTTGCAATTGAAACTTGGATGAATAAATTAGACTGCAAAAGAAAATATATGTAAAAGAATTGATCAAAAATTTTGATTAGAAAGATAGATTAGAAACCAATTTAAATGACAAAGACATAATAGAGTCATTTTAAGATATAATGATAGATTGAAAACTTACCTATTATATAAAGATGTTTAAGACCATTAACTTCATAAATAAAACCCATTAAGAAGGATCCAGAGTTGATCCTGTCATGTTTACCTTTTAAAATAAGTGCTAAAGAATGGTTTAAAAAATCTTTTGGCCATAATTTTTCAACAACCACAACAATCAAATCATACAAATAACAAAAAATTTCACCTAAAACTCTATATAAAAAAAAAAACATGTTCATGTCAAAATAAAGATGAAAAAACTCATGACCCAACACTTGTTTTTTGTATGATTGGAGAAACGGATCAAAACACAATGCAGAAGTAACCCAAAATATTAGCAAAATTCCAAGAAAAACTAAGCGTCCAATACAAATTCAAAGGATCTCTAATAAAAATAAATAAATCAAATGCACATACCCCCCCCCCCCCAAAAAAAAAAAAAAACCCTAGGAAATAAAACCAAAACAAGTTACATACTCCCTGTACATATAGTTTAAGATCTTATTAACAAATAAATAAAGGAAGAAGACCAAAAAAAAAAAAAAAAAAACCCAAAACTTTGAAAGTAAGAGCTGTAACGTCCGTTAATCGAGACACCTCACCTAAAGGGTTACGATCGACGGGTCATTACTAAAACTTATATCATTTTTATTTTTATTAAAATTAAGTTCCTAATTTAATCTTATTTATCTTTAAATATGTCAATTTAAAATATATAATTATTAATATATAATCATAAGATTTTCTTATTAACATAGCGGAAGTGTTATTCTAAAATTTAATCATTTATAAAACATCTCTCACCATAATTAACATTTTTTAAATAATCTTGTCCCAATATTCATACTCAAATTCTAAGCGAAAATTTTCAACATTCATAAGTTTAACATTATTACATTTATTATTTTAAAAATAAATATTCATTTAAAGCATAACCTAATCGTTAGGAGCACGCAAAGGCGGACACATGAATTACCGATCATCGAAGCGATATTAGCATCCTTAACATTTGCATCATTACCTACACCACGGAATGGACGTGAGATATGAATATCCCAATAAGTGTAACATGCATGATTTTACATTAAAACTTTTTATACATGAATGTCTTTAAAATTCTTTTTCTCATTTGGGCTCGCTAGAAGATACTAACACCGATTAACGGGGTCTAGCTTCAATAAAAACATACATAAGAACATTAACCTCATCATTTAACGAGTCAAATCTCAACCTTTAAAATCTCAACATTTATGCCTCGATAGGCAACCTCAACCTTTAAACCTCATTATGTATTGAAAAAATAATCTCATTCGTTTAATTAAACATTTCTTTTCAATCAACATGTAAAACATATGCATGCATATGAATGCACATCAAGACCATCACATCAATCACATAAAAGCATATAGCATTTACGTCCATGGTGTAGGTGAGTTACACTTACTTGATTTGCTTAAGACCACTCGTTTATCGTAACCTTTCTCTAAAAATCGGTACCTCGACTTGATTTAAACCTTGAACATACACACCATATAACATAAGAAATTAAATATTATTATTTTATCTCTAATCATTTAATTTTTATTAATTCCTATTCTTTTCTTGTAATTTCTTTTAAATTGAAAATCCTAATTAAATCATCAATACTCTAATTTATTTAATTCTCTTCTAATTATATTCATATAATCTAATGTTATTAAATTTTAACTTAACATTTTCAGTTCTTATTTAAATACACTTAATCGTCAAATATTCTAATAAAAAATTAAGATTTTAATACTAAAATATAGTTTTTACATAATCAATCCTAAATCATGAAATTCAAACTCAATTCTACCTAAAATCATATAGAAATAAATTATTAAATATTTTTCTTACCTTAGATATTGAATCACCAAGACTTGAATCTTCTTCCAAATACATTTGACTTCACTTCTTACTCAATTATATTATTTCTTTCTCTTTTTGAAATATAAGCTTATGAAATGGCTTTCCTAAATGAAGAGAATGACACTATATATAGGTATGATGAGTTGAAACATTTAGGAATTTTAGGTGCATGAATTAAAAATAATAAAAGACCACTAACTTTCTTCTATTATGGCCACTAAGTGCCTTTCTTTCATAACTACTTTATTTTCTTTCATGACCACTAATCTTATTCTTTTATGGCCACTTTCTTTTCTTTCATGGTCATTCATGTCTCCTATTTAATTTTAATATATGTTTCAAAAATTTTGCTCTTCTTTCATAATAACTAACATTCCCTTTAAAAGCTAGTAAAACTTATTATTATTTTATTAATTATTATTACTACTTTAATCCTTTAATTCCTAATAACTTAGGCTAAGATTATAGGATTAATTCCTATCTATAAAAATATTATCTATAATACCCAAATATATATATATATTTATTATGAATTTTTTTTTCGGGTTAGATTATTATCATATCGGATCAATAGGGATCCGAATTTGTTTCATTTAATAAATAGGTTAATGGATTCGAAACATATTCAAACTCAAATAAAAAAATTATTTAAAAGATCTATTTAATTACATTAAATTCGGGTCAAGATCCGATCTATTTTACATTCCTAGGCATAACCATCTCTTTTCCTCTTCATCTCTTTTTGTGTCTCATCTTTCTTTCTCTTTTTATTTGTTTTTAATTATTATTGTCTTTGTGTTTCCTTTTCTCAACTTTATAGTAGAATAAGATTGAGAAAGAGATATGGTAAAAAGAGATAACTCTAAAATCCAATATAGCTCTAAAATCAAGCCAAGTTATGAAAGAGATAACCAAAAAAATCAAGGTCATGACTCGTCACTACCCGAGCACGCCCAACACAAACAACCCATGATGAAGAAAAAACTAAGAGATAGTTCAATTGAATCACAGATCCATATGAGTAGAACTCGTTAACATATCGGACTCGAATCGAATCATAATAAATCCATATTCGATTTATTTAGTAAAATGAATTAGATCAAATTCGGATATTCATTAGATTTATCAGTTGATTTTTATAGAAAAATTATACTTAATACATTTCATATATTGCTCGAACAAAAAAATATATTTAACCACTACCTATATAATAAAATACATTAAGATAATATTTTATTTATCGATTTTATAAAAAAATTCAAAATACCACATAATTCAAAAGTACAAAATTAAA